AAACGTACCTTCTTATATATCGACTTTGTCCACTTGGATCAACTTTGTTTCCTCCGGCTTCAATTTCCATCCCTCTAGTTCGTTCTCTCTATGTCTGGTCAGACATCAATCTGTTCCACGTAACGCGCCCCCTAGAGGCCTGGAGCATTGTGTGTTTAGGGGTTTCTATGTGTTTTTGGGTTTGTATGTGTTTTTGACTTTGCATATCGTTTTTGTATTTGCAGCGTTTTTCTGTTGTGTTTGTTTTCGGGGTTTGTGTGTTGTATTTAGTTTGCGTCATTTCTGTAAATGCAGCGGGTTTTTTGTATTTGTTTTCAGGATTTGTTTGTTTTTCATTTAATTATTTGCAGCTGTTTCCTGCTTATGTTTGCGTTTATATACACTGCAAAAAAACAGAAAAAGAGGAGTAAAAGTAGCTCACGACTTTTTTTATTTTTTGAAAGTAGCTCTCATCCTAAAAAAGGTTGGAGACCCCTGTTGTAGAACGATACATTTGACAATTTTAAGCTTGGCCTACCATTTTATTGGAGCGATGAGGAACAGGTGGGGCACCTGATCAAAGTGGGGAATGACAGAAAAAGTTTCAGAACCACTGCTCTAATAGAAGCTGTAAAAAGATGCACTACCAAATATTGTATTTATGATGTGGACTGGTGTGGACGTCCCAGTGTCTGTGCAGGTGACACCCTTTCAAAACTTTCTGTGGATATGTGTCACAGGTGTAAGTTGTCTCATTGTGCTCTTCTCTCTGTGTTGGGCTGCTCTGACGTTGTGTTCCCCCCCACCCCCCCTCTCTCTCCCTGACAGTCCATGGTGTTGCTGCTGCACAGCCAGCACCAGTACATCTTTGACTTTGACTCCGGGGACCGTCTGTCCGCGGTCACCATGCCCAGCGTGGCTCGACACACCATGCAGACCCTCCGATCCATAGGGTACTACAGGAACATCTACAACCCCCCAGAGAGCAACGCCTCTGTGACTGTGGACTACTCTGAAGATGGACAGGTGTGGTTAATAAAATCTGCAATATTTTTAAATCCTATCATTTTTTGTCTTCATCTTTTATATTTCATTACTTCTGCTGATGGATGGTGGTTATGAGGTTTTTCTGTAATGAGTATTGTCCAAACCTTTCATATGATCATCAGTCTTATGGAACTAAAACTGAAGTGCTGTTCCCTCTCTCTCCAGCTCCTCCGAATTGCCCATCTAGGCACGGGCCGCCGTATACTGTACAAATATCGCAGACAGGTACGTGCTTTCCGTGCTTTTTCACTTCAAAAATGAAACGTATTTGTATGCTGACCCATGCATAGGTGGAAGAAGTACTCCGATCTTGTACTTAAGTAACAGTAGAAGTACCCGAGTTAAACAATTATAATCAAAATAAAAAATTCTCAACAACGTAAACAAAAACTATTTATTATTTGATTTTATTTAATTTGTGTTTTTTTCAGCTAATGTTCTTGAACAGGACAGTCAAATAAATAAAGAGGAAATGGAAAGCATGATCTCTTTTTGCATCATCCCTGTGTTTAGTGTGAAAGTGGTGTCAGGGGGAGGCAGGGTGAGGGTGGTGCTGAGGCACTGGGCCTGAGCAGCTGCACAGCTTCAGTACACCACTCAGGTTGAAGTTGATGGCACTCATTGAAGTGAACTGAGAGTGGAGCAGATATCCTCCAATATCCATTATTGTAAACACATCCTGCTGTGTTTCCTGTGTCATCAGAACAAGCTGGCAGAGATCCTCTATGACTCCACTCGGGTCAGTTTCACGTATGATGAGACAGCTGGTGTTCTTAAGACCGTCAACCTGCAGAGCGAAGGCTTCATCTGCTCCATCAGGTACCGGCAGATCGGCCCTCTGGTCGACCGGCAAATCTTCCGCTTCAGCGAGGACGGCATGGTGAACGCTCGCTTCGACTACACGTACGACAACAGCTTCAGAGTGACCAGCATGCAGGCTGTGATCAACGAGACGCCGCTGCCCATCGACCTGTATCAGTTTGATGATATATCTGGGAAGGTGGAGCAGTTTGGGAAGTTTGGAGTCATCTATTATGATATCAATCAGGTAAGACTGGAGTGCCTGCAATGAATTAAATGGCCTTACATTTCTCCTTTATGAATAAAATGTTGTCTATAAATCCTGATAAGGTGGGTCAGTTGTTAAGAGGTGATGCTTTGATGATTCAATAATTGATTAGACATGTGGGATGGACATTGGCCTGCAGGTGAAACTCATCATGTGACTGTTTCAGCTTCCTCTGCTATTGAGAGCAACTCATTGGTGGAGATCATCAGAACAGCACATCATTTTTTACATTACAGATTTTATGACATACTGTATTTGACAGCATTATGTTATGCAAATTACACGTTAAATGCATCCCTAAGGAACGGTGACCAATAAATGTACATTTTATTCATATTGTTTACGATGCAAACAAGATCTGTTAGAGAACTCAATAAATCACAATAAACACAAGTTAATGTTTATTTTGGAATGCAAACACTGAGCCATGAGAAGAGAACTAGACAGAGAGTAATGTGGACTTTCATTCAATTAGATACAATCAAATATATTCAGTTGAAATGTTTACTTTATTGCACCTACTTGTAATTAGGAGCAGGATGTCTCCCAGGTAGTGGAGGTGGTTAGATATCAGGTTTACTCTCGATACTTACTACCACAGATAACAAATACCTCTCAAAATACATCTCCTACTCACTGAGAGTTATCAAATAAATGTTAAATAACCTTTTAATGAAATGACAGGAGTGAGTCTGCCTGATGAACAGCTTGAATTCAATAAATACATCTGGTTGTCAGAGTCTTCTACAAAGCAGGAGAGGAACATCTCCCTGAACGGAGCTTGTTTGGCTGTACGTGTCCGTGTCCTGTCTGCTCCGTCAGCTTCCTGTCAGCGTAGGAACTGAAAGCTTGTTTTCTGTCTTCCTGCTCCTCAGATCATCTCCACAGCAGTGATGACATACACCAAACACTTCGACCAGCACGGCCGCATCAAGGAGATCCAGTATGAGATCTTCAGGTCTCTGATGTACTGGATCACCATTCAGTACGACAACATGGGCCGAGTCACCAAGCGGGAGATCAAGATTGGACCATTTGCCAACACAACCAAATATGGATACGAGTATGACGTTGATGGACAGCTACAGACGGTCTCCCTCAACGAGAAGATGATGTGGAGGTAGGATCAGACAATTAAACTGAAATAGAAGATATCATTTCAAGAAGCCAAATGTAATAATATAATTGTCTGACCTTCCAGATATAATTATGACCTGAATGGGAACCTGCATTTGCTGAACCCGGGCAACAGTGGTCGTCTGACCCCGCTACGCTACGACCTGAGGGACAGAATCACCCGTCTGGGAGATGTTCAGTACCGGATGGATGAAGACGGCTTCCTGAGGCAGAGAGGAGCTGAGATATTTGAATACAACTCCAAAGGTCAGATTCATTGTTTGGTGGTCCAACATAGCAGCATAAAGGCCCAGTCAAACCAGAACCTGACAGCCAAGTTCAACCAACAATAGCTGAGGAGAGGAGAAACAGACAGAAATAAGCAGCCAATGACAGGCTTACCAAAGGCACAGTCTAAAGATGTGTGTCAGACTGCTAGCATGCTAACTGAGTCAGTGGAAAGGCTTGGGAGCTTGGTCGGTAATAAGACCACCATTTCTCACAGTTTATTCTTCTCTTAAAACATTCGCTCTCTGTGGAGCACTTTATTCTCGGATGGATTGTAATCTATCATTTTGTGCTTTCTAAAGTTTAAAAAAACTTGACACAAAGTCCCACTTGACTTTACTTGGCATGTGATTTGGTAATTCCAATTAAATTACTACACTTATCTGCATCATTTCTTGTTGAATTCTATCATCAAAGAGCCTTAACCCTAGTTATTTTAGTTGTTGTTTTTTTTTTGGGGGGGAGGGGATTATTTAACATTTTAGTCAAATGTAACAATGTATAAATCAAATTAATACTACCAATTGGGGTTTCAGTATTCAATGTATAAATCCTACAGATAGTATGTTTCAACAGAAACATCTAAGCATCTTTTTGTATCATCTGCCCTTCAGGGCTCCTAGTTCGTGTGTACAGTAAAGCGGCCAGCTGGACCATCCAGTACCGGTATGATGGTCTTGGTCGGCGAGTGGCGTCCAGAAACAGTCTGGGCCAACACCTTCAGTTCTTCTACGCTGACCTGAACTACCCCACCAGGATCACCCACGTCTACAACCACTCCAGCTCCGAGATCACATCCTTTTACTACGATCTGCAGGTAGCTTCTCAAAAAACATTCGGAAAATGCGGATATGATACGAAACACACTGAGTTTGCACAAATTAGACAAGTATAGTGCATGACATTTTGTGATGTCAGTCAGTGTATAAAAAGAGTCTAACTTTACTCATTAAGACTAGAGTAATGCACTAATCTCATAGGTAAATATATTGAGGATACTGTAAAAGAGTTGTCTAACAATGAGGAAAGTGTTTGATAAAGCACACAAGAGCATACAATTATAATTAGTTTGCGAAATATTAATAAAAAGTGTATATGTATAATATGTTATGTATTGCTGCACAGGGCCATGTGTTTGCCATGGAGATCAGCAGTGGAGAGGAGTTCTACATTGCCTGTGATAACACTGGGACCCCGCTGGCTGTCTTCAGCAGCAATGGACTATTACTTAAACAGGTATGTGTGTACCTTTTTTCCTTGCAAATAATCAAATGTCCTGAGCTTACATTGTGTGTCTGTTCGAATTCAATTTTTGCAATGGTTGGTCTCCATATCACGTGCTGAATATGTGTTTGTGTGTAGGTGCAGTACACGGCGTATGGGGAGGTGTACTTTGATTCCAACCCAGACTTTGTGTTGGTGATTGGTTTCCACGGAGGTCTGTATGATCCTCTCACACGGCTGCTGCACTTCGGAGACAGAGACTACGACATCCCTGCTGGAAGGTGCGCACTCACTTCCTCTCCACACATGCACAGTTCTCCTCCAGCAGGATGCTCTGCAGCTTTGTTATCTTCACCTCTGACCAGAGTGTTTTTTCTGAAGGTGGACCACTCCTGACATCAGCACATGGACACGTGTTGGTAAAGACCCCCAGCCCTTCAACCTCTACATGTTCAGAGGCAACAACCCCATCAGCAAGATTCACCAGGTCAAAGAGTATGTCACAGGTAACCAGAAAACATTGATTTTACAGTACAAAAATACCAAAGAGGTAGATAGAACTGTTTTCTATCAGAAGAAGTAGAGCTATCCTGCCCCTTACGTTCGAGGTGGCTAGTACTATACTTAACATAAATACATGTACAACAACTTAACTAACATATTTGTATTGAGCTAGCTGATTTTAAATCATAAAGAAATCCCAACAATAATCTAGTTTTGCTTGGAGTGGATGTCGCTAGAACACCTTTAATAGAACTATATTTGTATGTTGTATTTTATCAGCCTGAAGTGGGGGTTTTATGAATTATTTCAAATCAATTCTATCAAACAGAATAGTGATGCAAACTAATGATCAATCAGGTGTTTGATCAGCTGTTTCTTTCCACAATAGTTTGGTAGTAATAGGTGAAGATTGGTAGTAGTGCTTTATTTATTCACTCTAAGAAAGAAAAATGTCCTTAAAGTGAACAGTAGGGTGCCAAAAAGGAAAGGTAACCTTACTGTGGAGATCTGAATTGATCAAGTACTTCAGTTGGGTCAGATCTTTTTTGAATTGTATTAATTTGAAGCTGCGAAATGACAGATTATGGTAACAAGCTGCAACAAGGATTTTAAAAAAGGAACACCAGTGGTTGGTCAAAATTGCAAGGAGGTATAATAAAAATAATAAGCAGGCATCTTTATTATTACAGTTTGTTTACATGCCTTGTAGTTTTTCTTCTTTGATTGTTCACATCGCTTTCTTCTCTTGTAGATGTCAATATCTGGTTGGTTACGTTTGGATTCCATCTCCACAACGCAATCCCAGGGTACCCCATTCCTAAATTTGACCTGACGCAGCCGTCACTGGAGATGAAGAAGAGCCAGCTGTGGGACGACCTGCCTGTGAGTATGAGTCCTGTGACAGAGAAAGATGGAAGGATTCTCAGAGGCAACAGTCCCTTCTGTGTGACGGCAGAACATATAAATGAATATTTATATATACATTTTTGGTCAGGATAGGGAGAGACAAAGGAGGCTGAAAAAGAACAGGAAAACACAAACTGACTGACTAATTAGTTCAGTGTGGGCCTTTGGGGAAATCAGAAGCTACACATACAGTACACACACAGACACTTTACACACTGTGTGTTTGCACGAAACAAATCCTTTTGAAATCAGACAGTTGTTTTATCCTCGTATATATAGTCTCCCCTTATTTTGTGAGTCTGTTCATTTATCATATATATATCTGTCTTATTTCCGTGAGCAAATGCACTAGTCATACAGCAACTGATCACTATCAATAGATTCAGCCAGACATCACATTTCCCCCCTGACTCGGGGAAGGAGAACTAAACAGTAATACAAATACTGTATATCACATTATGTAGCGTACTCCTGCAGAGAATCTGATTCAAACTCTTAGTTGTCTTTAGTTATATAGCTAGAGAATACACAGCACCTCGGTTCTCTCCTCAGTGTATCACTGCTCCTGACCGCCCACAGGACATCAATCTGTTGTCAGGGAACAAGAAAACCAAATGATATGGACTACTTTGCTCCTGTGGGTAATGTCCACAGTAATGACTCTTACATGTCTAATATGTGTAATGTGTAATTGTAAAGCGCTTTGAGCACCTGTAAAAGCGCTCTAATAAAAAATGTAATGCATTATTATTATTATTACTTTAACCAAAATAACTAACGCCTAACACAATATCGTTATGTTGTCAGAGCTGCTGATCTCCCCTAAATGAATAACATGAAGACAAGCTGCACATTCAGTCTCAATGCAAGAAAGCTTGCTTTAGGATGTACTTGGTGAAAAGTAAATGAACTGCATTTGTGTAATGCTTTTCCAGTCTTTATGGCCAGTCAAAGTCAGCAGTTACCCAGCACCTGCTCAGGGAGGCTAACCCCACACACACTCACACACCGTTGGCTATGTCATTTGGAGCAACTTGGGATTAAGTATCTTGCCCAAGGAGACATCGACATGTTGACTGCAGAGGCTGGGATCGAACTCCCAACCTTGTCCATGATGTCATAAATAGCAAGCAGTAAATAAAGTATGAAGAATATATCTTTGTCTCGTCTGCAGTCCATCTCGGGGGTCCAGCAGGAGGTGACCCGTCAGTCTCAGGCCTTCCTGTCCTTTGAGCGGATGCCAGAAATCCAGCTGAGTCGGCGGCACTCAGACCACACCAAACCCTGGCTGTGGTTTGCCACCGTCAGGTCTCTGATCGGCAGGGGAGTGATGCTCGCTGTGATCCAAGGCCGCGTGGTGACCAACGCCCTCAACATTGCCAATGAGGACTGCATCAAGGTGGCTGCAGTCTTAAACAACGCCTTCTACCTTGAAGACCTGCACTACACCGTGGAGGGCCGGGACACACACTACTTCATCAAGACCAGCCTGCCGGAGAACGACCTCAGCGCACTGCGGCTCACATCAGGCAGGAAGTCGCTGGAGAACGGTGTGAATGTCACGGTGTCGCAGTCCACCACGGTGATGAACGGGAGGACGCGGCGCTTTGCTGACGTGGAGCTGCAGTACGGCTCTCTGGTGCTCCACGTGCGCTACGGCACCACGCTGGACGAGGAGAAGGCTCGGATCCTGGAGCAGGCCCGGCAGAGGGCGCTGTCGAGCGCCTGGGCCCGCGAGCAACAGCGGGTCAGAGACGGAGAGGAGGGGGTCCGGCTGTGGACGGAGGGAGAGAAACGGCAGCTGCTGAGCAGCGGGAAGGTTTTAGGGTTCGACGGATACTACGTGTTGTCCATAGAGCAGTACCCTGAGCTAGCTGACAGTGCTAACAACATGCAGTTCCTACGGCAGAGTGAGATAGGGAGGAGGTAACACGGCTCACAATGTCTCATTTCTACCCCACTATGACTGTCAGACTAACAAAAAGTGAAAAGAAAGGATTTATAGTGAAGATCATTATGGAACATAATGAAACTACAGATGTGATGGTTTAAAACTGTCGTCATGAGGCTGCAGGAAAGTTCAGTCTTTTGCCTTTTCCCTCTTTCTTTTTATTTCTAAATTTTCTTTCTTTTTATCCGTCGCCCTGTTGTCTGCCTTTAAACAGCCTGCACGCATGCCCCTCCCCCTCTCTCTGGTAGGCGGGACTAACCTGATTCATATAATCGTGTGCGTCTAGCTGTGAACCTGTGGGATGTCGAGACTTGTTTAATTAGCCAACAGAGCATTTCCACAGCCGTCACAGCTAGGTGAGCTCTAAGCATTTAGACAGTTGTAACTGTCAGCAGTCCGCAGAACAATGTGCTCGCTCACAGATGTTGCAGGCTTCTCATCTGTGAGCCGTCCATGGGTTAATGACCTCTGTGAGCCGTGTCTACAGGATCTCTTGTTCCATGGCTGAAGGAGCTGGAACTGCTGTTGAACTGATGTGGACTCTCTAAGACAGACTGGCACAAAAAAAAGACTACAATTTGTACGAAGGAGACTTATTTTCTGTTTGGATTTTTGTTTTGTTTTTATATATTAACTTGCATTTGCTTCAGACAAAAAGGGGATTCAAAAATGAACAAAAAATGTTTACATACTATTACCTATACCACTATTACTACTCTTATTACACCACCATCACCGCCACCACTGGAATGGACCATGATCTGAACTGAACAAAACTTTAAGTTGTGTTTTTGTTTCCTCCTTATCTATTATCTATTGGTCAGTTTGAACCACTCCTTCTCATCCCCTGTCCTCTTACAAAGTCTATAAAAATGTACAGTTTCAGACTACAATCAGCAGCGGTCTATGAGGAAACAGGGCCAGCTCGGCTGTTTCTGATTAGTTGTGGACCCTCAGTCGGGGGTCCTTCACTTCTGCAGAATGGGACTCAGCCTCATAATGCATCGACCTTGTGCTTTTATCGGTCAAAGGTAGTAGTAATGCTTGCAATAGAAACATGTTATCATGGCTTTGGGGGAGGGTTGCTGTGAGTAGGAACTAAGTGTTGCTTCTCTCCTCGTTTTTGCTGGTTTCTCCTTAAAGGGACAGTGCATTGCCATCAGTGACTTTAATGAGTAACAGTGATAGATCAAAAATCGATGTGGATGTTTTCTCATTGATTGTGGGTCTCTCTACTCTTATCTGGAGTTTTCTTTGTGTGTATGTGTGTTTACAAGGTTGGGACGGCATCTTTAATAATTTTAAAGGAAAGAACAGGAACTTCACGCAGCGTTAACGTCATATGCCACCAATCTTTTTTCAAGACAAGTTGAAAATGTTTTTTATTTTAAAGCTTGAGAAATTCCACTTATCCGTGCATCAATATTAGTCTCAGAGAAAGTAATTTATGTACAGTGTTTCTACGGTAAAGAATAAAATTCCTTGAAACTACAATACGTTTTTGAATGCGTTCTCTTTCCATTCACTTATCATTTTAAAGGTTCCATGCCACTGTGTGCTATAGTAATAAATACTTTACAGTTATGAAAACACCAATGCAATTCCTTATTTTCATAAAGTCTTGTAACACTTGTCATGAGCATTGCTGTGTATCATAGTGTGAATTGAGCATGTTTGGGATGCTCTGGATCGGCGTATACGACAGCGTGTTCCAGTTCCTGCCAATATCCAGCAACTTCGCACAGCCATTGAAGAGGAGTGGACCAACATTCCACAGGCCACAATCAACAACCTGATCAACTCTATGCGAAGGAGATGGATGACATGTTAGGGTTAGGGTTAGGGTTTAACCCTAGGGTTTTCGGACCCCCCCAGACCCCCCCAATAAAGCAAAACTGCACGTTTCAGAGTGGCCTTTTATTGTAGCCAGCCTAAGGCACACCTGTGCAATAATCATGCTGTCTAATCAGCATCTTGATATGCCACACCTGTGAGGTGGGATGGATTATCTCAGCAAGGAGAAGTGCTCACTATCACAGATTTTTTCAGATTTGTGAACAATATTTGAGAGAAATGGTTATTTTGTGTATATAGAAAATGTTTTAGATCTTTGAGTTCATCTCATGAAAAATGGGAGCAAAAACAAAAGTGTTGCATTTATATTTTTGTTCAGTGTATAAAGTCAACAGTGTTAGTAATCTACAATGTTATAATAAGTGAAATATTAGTGCTTAATATTTTAGCATTTGATATGTTAGGTTATCACTTAGTTTCATTCAAGATGTTGAATTCTGACTTTTATTTTTATATTTCTACAAAGTGCTATTGGTGTTTTTATTCTAGTGAAGATCTGAATACTTATTCTTCCTCTATGACCCACATGTAAATTGGCTTGTTTTCAGGCTTGCTCCTTTGAGTCCTATTGTGAAATGAATACTCACACTTTGAAAAGTTCCAAGAGGGAGACATTGCTCATTTAGTAGTTTTTAGATTCTTGTTCTTCCTCTTTCATCTCAATCAGCTGACTGAGAGCGTTCCCCTCATTCACTCTTAAATAATATACTAACATATATTAGTATGACCTACACGTGCAAATCATCTTTCAAAACATAACGCCAAAAGGGATGTGCAAATAGTTTATAAAAATGTTTCTTAATACATGTGTTGTATGGGAAATAATACTTGAGGGCCCAACACATTTCTGCTCATGAACAGTCAGTCACATTTAAACTCTTCCCCTGATCCAAATGTCTTTGGACTCTGGGCGCTGAGTCCACCAAAGAACAAAGACACACAAGCCAAAAAGTGTGATTGACTCTCTTTATAAGGCAATTAGATTCGACACCATCGTGATGCATCAATTTCAAGTCAATATTAAATGTAGTCCCTGACTTGAACTGAATTCCTTTATTGTCATTGTACAGGTACAACAACATTTAAAAAGCTTTCCTATCAGTGCATAGCCTATCTATATGCAATAACAAGCAACACATTTTTAATAATATCTATATATCTGTGCACTTAAACCATTTATATACGTACAAACAAACACACGATAAATGAATGCAGTTAAAATCACAGTGCTTGAAAACAGACAGGTATTGAAATGTGCATGTCAGAGTTGATCACTTCCTAAATAATGAAATAAATAAATGCAGGAATAAATATGTGATGATGAAAATGTGCAGGGCAGTTGCAATGTGTCTGTAGAGCTAGTTTAGATTAAGTTTTCTTATGCTCTCGGGTAAAAACTGGTAAAAGGAAGGTTACTGGTATAAGCCCCCGAATCAGTACAACTGAAATACATGTAGGAATCAAGGAAACTGGTAATATTAACCATACAACAGAATGCCAAAAAACAACCTGAGTCCAAAGAGAATGACACACCACGTGATGAACACTTTTCTCAAACAAATGTTAAACTCCCTCATGTTTCTGAATTGTCCCACTCAGACACTAGATGTGTCCTTCCGGGTGAGGTATGAAGACGGTTTTGATATGGTTTATGCGAGCTCAGTAAAGTGTTTTGAGTGCGGGGAGTCGGGTCACAAATGTGTTGCATGTCCACGCAGATCCGCCGGGGCAGCCGAGCCCGGGGCCACCGGAGCTGCGGATGAAGTAGGGATGAATATCGTGAGAGATGAAACAGGGA